AATCAATCAATCAATCAATCAATCCTGACCAGCTGAAGGTTGACTCAGCCTCCCATCCTTCCGAGATGGATAAAATGAGAACCCAGATTGTTAGGGGCAAGAGGCTGACTCTGTAAACCACTTAGAGAGGGCTGTAAAAGCACTGTGAAGCGGTATATAAGACTTAAGTGCTATTGCTAAGTGCTAATAAGCAGCAAATGTTGTGTTTCTGGCCCCAGTGATGAGCTGCTGAGAAAAAGGGTGGAACTCTTGACTTATCCTAAAACGGAGAGGTGTAATTTATTTCACTCCTGGTGAATTAGGTTAGAGGTTTTTTTTTTAAACTTCCTGGTGAGGTTGTGCAATACCAAAGCCTCCATGTGCTCGAATCTGAAAAGTGATTTTGAGTGTTGAACTGTCCCCCCCAGCTTCCTCAAATTTTTTTCAGTTCATTACAACATCCCCAAAATTAATCCTCGGTACATTTTGTGCTCTGGTGCAAATAAACACCCGTCTGCTATTCTCCGGGCTCTGCTTCCAGATCCCATGAATGCATCATCATAAACCAGGATAAAAATCACAATCACATGCCCACTGTTGATCCAATCACACCGACAAATAAAAAGAAACCGAGCCATTTAAAAACTTTTGAAAAGTCGAAGTCCCTGGAAAGCAGCCTCGAAAAGTAGTGGAAAGGTTTTAATTTGCAAAGGCTACCTCATCGGCTTACCGTCTCCACCTTTATTAACAAGTTTATACAACACGCACATCCAAATTTTTCCGTGCTTGTAGGAAGCAACCTGAGCTGGATTTTTTAATATATTTTTTTAGCCACAAAACCCTGGGACACTGAGCGCTGTATTGATTATTGACTACTCCTGTTTGCGCTTCAAATTAATGTTTATTATTAGTGCAAGCGAGGTTCAGCCTACGCGCAGAGAGATTCCACTTGGAGCTATTTCTCTGCTATTTCAGAGACTAAAGGCTATTCTTTTCTTTATGAACTAGCTCTTTTTTTTTTCTAAGCCTCTTTTAACCGCTGTGGAAATATGGAATATGTATGTGTTAATCTGGACCAAGTCTTGCAAACCTTGTCTAGACGAGGGATAAAAAGAGTTAGGATTTTAAACACGGTGTTTTAAACACTCTCCCTTTCTTTGCGGCAAGTAGTAACTTTATTTACAGTCTGTTTGTGGGGGGAAACTGACTGACCATTTTGTCGGATCGTGGCATTTATGTAGCATTTGTGGGCATTTTCTAAGTAGGCCTTGGAGGGAGGAAAATCTCCCTGCTCTGTGTGTAAATATTTTAAGCTCACCCAAGTGTTTATGTAACTTCATTTCTCTCAATGGCCAGAGAATCTTTTTTCCCAGTAGAAGCTTTAGAGTTTCGTATCTCACATACCATAAGAACCTTCACTATGCCAGAAAAAATGACTTTAGAAATAGAAGACTTATTTTCAAAAATAAATGTTGACCATCGTTTATTTCACTCAAAGAAGCAGGTAGATTCAGCCACATAAATCCTAGGATTTAAAGGGACTTTGAAGGTCTTCTAGTCTGACCACTTCCCTGCTCAGGGTGGGAACCCTCAGAAATGGCGTAATTTCTGTCTGAAATTCTCCAGGAAAATTTGCTGGAATTATGCTGGGAAATGGTTATCATGTCTATCTCTATCTTCTACATTTCGCTTTTGTTCTTTTTTCTTTCACTTTCTCTCCCTCTTTCCTTCCTTCCTTCCTTNATAGTAGTAATTGTGAGCGGGATCTTGGGAGTCTTAATGGATCATCACTTAAATATGAGCCAGCAGTGTGCTGCGGCTGCCAAAAAAGACAACACAGTTCTAGGCTGCATTAACAGAGCGATGGAATCAAGATCGTGTGAAGTGTTAATACCACTTTATAATGCCTTGGTAAGGCCACACTTGGAATATTGCATTCAGTTTTGTTCACCATGATGTAAAAAAGATGTTGAGACTCTAGAGTGCAGAGAAAGAGCAACAGATAATTAGGGGACTGGAGGCTAAAACAGATGAACGGACTTCCTGAAAAGAACTAGGGAAGACATAATAGCAGCCTTCCAATATTTGAGGGGCTACCCCAAGGAAGAGGGGATCAACTTATTCTCCAAGGCACTTGAAGGCAGGGCAAGAAGGAATGGATGGAAACCAGCTAAGGAATAATCCAACCTAGAACTAAGGAGAAATGAATGGATTGCTTCCTGAAGTTGTGGGTTCTCCAACACTGGAGGTTTTTAAGAAGAGATTGGACAACTATGGTGTAGGGTTTTCTCCTTGAGCAGAGGGGATTGGACCAGGAGACCTCCAAGGTCCCTTTCAACTCTGTTATTTTGAAAGCGTGTATTTAATTATAAATTAATATGTAAATTGTTTTTCTTTTGGAGGGGCGGGGGGAGGAAGTGAGGGGAACCTTTACCTTTACCATGTTAGTAAATGTGGTGATCTAGATACTATTTCAAATATAAAACTTTGTTGACAACCACCCGCCATGAAAAGTGTGAAAAAGAAAACATTCAAGTTAATGGAAACAAGTCTTTATTAAGTAACTTTTTTAATATCAGAAAAATAAAACTCTTATAATTCTCTTTACAGCAAATATATAATATCAGTGCTTTGGCCCTCATAAGTTAAAGGCCCTTTTATCATAAAATATATGCTTTTTTTTAAACTTTACTCAAATTGAATTTATAATCCCTATGACCTTTCTACATATACATAACAAAAAGAGTGTAGTAAAATTAGCAAATACTAAACCATATTGAGAGCTTTGTCATTCTGAAGTCTGTGGTTTATAGAAACAGTACACGCATCTAATCTTGTATCCTTGGCTTATTAGCTGCAGTGTACAATATAACAATATACAAAATACATGCTTGGTAAATGGGATTGTTCATATCTACAAGACTCGGCTAAAGATTAAGATTTCAATACTGACATTTAACTATTCTACAAGCTATTAGCGTTAAAGTTATGCATCTCATAATGTAATAATAATAATATTATATGCCATCAAGGCAACTTTTATACTGAAAAAAAAAATCATAAAATAAAAACCGTTATCTGTAAACTTTTTTTTTTTTTAATATACGAAATGTAACTCTTTCAAGTGGAAAATAAAAAATAAAGATTTCTGTATATTCACTAGTTCAATACACGTAGAATTTGCTATTCTGAGAAAACATTATTTCATCTTGGGAAGATATTGCTCAAAAAAGAGAGGGAACCAAAGGAAGGACAGATAGAGAAGTGCTTTTTTTTTTAAAGGAGAAAGAGAGAAAGAGGAAGAAGAAGAAAAATGAAACCCATCAGAACGTCTGAGTGTTCTTTTAAAAACGGGGAAATTCTGAGGGTGAAGTGCTGGAAGGAGAAACATCCACAGGCTGAAATGTACATTAGAGAAATCAACAGAGGTCAATTGTTTTTCCTTGATAGAGGGAAGCGTAGTTTTGAAATGAAATAAACCGTTTTGCTGAGTCTGTCACTGCTATTTATCACTGAATGATACAAAAAACGTGGATGTTACTCCTTCCTCTTCCTCCCCGTGTGATTAAAAGAAAAACAAAAAAAAAGACAAGTTTCACATCATGTGCAAGTCGTGGTTGTAACATAAAAAAATGATTCACATTTTCTTACACTCTTGATATTTGCTAAAATAGTTAAATTTAAGAACATCTTCATCGCATGAGCCAATGGAATGTCAGCATCCTCATTCTAGACACAATGGAAGGGAGTAGCAATTCACGCGTAAGGAGCATTGTCTAAGATACTCCCCGCCAATAAATAACCAAACTGCTACATGTCCGGGGCTGGAGCTCCCGTGTCCCTTGGCAATGATTTGAAACAAAGAAGGCTTTTCCAGGCTTCAGTAATGGAAGACCCACACATTCCTGATTCGCTTAAAGATGCCTCAATTTGCATACAGGATGAGAAGAGGAGGCTCCTCCTCCATCCGCCCCTTTGGACGGTCCTCCGCGAACCACCAACGGCTTAATAAAAACTTCTCGCTTAGGCGACACCCCTCGCTCGAATGGCCAGGAAACCAATCCGGCAGGCGGTAAAATTATTTGCAACGTTAGGTAAATGAAGCCTGTTATTGTTGTGTAAAGGAGAATGGGGTGGGGGGGGAATGAAAGCATCCCCCCCCCCAAACCTGCTCTGAAAAAAACTGGCAGTGTAAAGAAGGCAGCACTGGAAGTTATTTTGAAACATTCATGATCCTTTGCACCGTTTATCCCCCCCTCCCGTTAAGAGTTTCTACGCTCAAGGACTACACGGGACTTCGCTTTCACTGCAGTTATTAGAAATACTTTTGTCAAGTTCTGGGCAGACTGCAAGTGCTCACTGTACGCTCCCCCTCTGAAAAACAGATCGAAGGCCCTAAGGCCTCCCCAAAAAAACACCACGGCTTCCTTCTAGGACTTTGTTAGAGGTACGGCAGCTGCAACCAAAATGGAAAAAAGATTGGCTTTAGGCCTATAAGGTTAACTGAACAAGCCTGGTTTTTGTGTTTTTTTTTCTTTTTTGAAAAGAGTACATGCTTTTCAAACAACTGTTAGCCTAATCTCAAGAAAGCCCCGTAACAGTCTGAGTTCATTATAAGTTTACTTAGGGGGGTACCATTACATCCAAGCCTTTAAGAGTTTAAAAAGTCCATATATAATATCTCTATACATTTAAGAGTGAATTTGAATCGCCTGAGTAACAGCTGTCTGGCAAACTGGACACGATGGTGCTTCTTTTTCACAGATCTTGTTGGCGCACTCCATGCAGAAAAGGTTGTGGCCACATGGAACCAAGGCAGCGATTACTTCGTTCTCAAAACAGATCACGCAGTCGTGCTTCCGTCTTAACTCCGGAGGGGAACTAGATGTGGAGCCACCGTTGGAAGAAGAGTAGCTGTTGGTACCGTTGGAAAAGGCAGGGATATAGATGGGAAGGCCAACCTGGTTGACGGTGCTGGGAGGGTCGCTTCTCACTCTGCGGGCGAGGGGGTGTTCCAAGGTCTCGGGAAACGTCGGTGACAAGCGAGGGGTGGAGGGCTGGCTCCCTTTCCGCGGAGATTTCACATTACTAGCGGGTTCGCTACCAAAACTGGAGAGTGGGTTGACGGGTTCGAAAGGGGTCCAGATGGTCTGAGAAGGGGTGGGCAAGGAATCGTAGGCAGGAGAGTCGACGGCCAGATCCTCTGCCCCCACGGAAGGCAAGGTCTCTCCAAACCAAAAATTGCCAGTGCTGAATGGACTGGTCGGGCTGAAGTCAGCCAACCTATTGCTTCCAAAGTAGGAGTCGGTGGAACCACTTCCTAGGGAACTGGAGCTGTCGTTTCTGTAATTGGAAATCATCCGGGTGCGACTGGGAGGTGGGACTGGGTGGGAAGTAAGCCAGGCAGATCCAAGGGTTCCTCCTTCAAAACTGACATCTGTACCGTTGTAATGGAAATCGTTTTCTTCGTTGAGCTCAATGTAGTTTCCAGTGCGCATGGCGATGTGCATCTCTATCTCTTCCCGGGCCCGGTCTACATTTTCCGGCATGCCGGTTACTTCAAAAACTGGCTCTTTGTCTCTACTGGGAGTAACTATGTAGGTATGGGTTTGCTGCTGAATTCTTTTGATCGTAGCGCCTTTGGGGCCAACCACCAGCCCGACGACACGGTAAGGCACCCTGACCTGGACTGTAGTCTGGCCTGGCAGGTTGGGGTTACAAGGCAGGCCTCCCAGAGCAGGGCCATTCTTGTTGCGCGAAGCTCTTATCATGGAGAAGTGCTCAGCAGCAGAAAGAATTTCCCTTTTGGCCATGGCGACGTCTTCTTTGCGGCCGGTGACCACGAAAACAGGCTCTTCTCCACGCACGGGGGTCTTGATGTACGTATTGGTTTTGGCTCTCAGGGCCTTGATTTTGCAACCTGCAGCAAGCAGACAGAAACAAACAAAATAAACATTTTTAATAGATTTAATTTCTTTTTTTAGCCATTTGAAAAAAAAAACACACACTCATCTTCTAAGTTACAGGTAGTCTTCAACTTATGACTGGATGTTTAGCAGTCTTTCAATGTTATAACAGACTCCCATTCCCCAGCAAAAAAAGGAAGTTATGACCACTTCTGAAGTTCCAATGGCTGTTGCTCCCTGTGGTCATGGGTGGGTATTGTATTGTATTGTATTTATTTGTCTTGTATGCCGCCCACTCCCGAAGGACTCCGGGCGGCTCACAATAGACAA